CAGAGCCAGAAGTGAGTCCAGAGCCTTGGATGGTGGCAGCGGGAACCCCAGGCTAGCGGGTGTGCTCCAGGGAAGGGGTCAGCCAGACGGGAGGCACCCCAAGGGAGGCACTCAGAGCCTGGAAGGTGGTCGGGCGTAGGGAGGTGGGCGGCTCAACGCAGGAGCGCCCCCTACTGGCCCGCCACAGCTGGAAGACACGCACACCTGCCGCCCTGCTGGAGCACACACCTGCCACACACGTGCACACACCTGCCCCTGCGGGACCCAAGGTCCTGGGCCCTGCCGGAGCCGGCGAGCGCATCCCCTTGCCTAGGACACCTCACAGCTCGTTCCCCGCAGAGCAGACGGGCGCTGAGCCGCGCTGGGCCTCCCTGCTGCCGTGGCACGTCCTGTGCAGCATGGCCCAGAGCCGAGCCGAGCTGGCCATGGCCACAATGCGGGGCCTGCTGGCGACTGGCAGGGATGGAAGAAAACCACACACCAAGCTTTGACTGAGGAAAAAGCCCACAGGAGAGTCTGCTCGTGGGGCAGAGCGGGGGCACCGGGGCTGTGCCCTTCACCAGGGAGCAGCAGGAGAGAAGGGGCCAAGCCGTGACCTTGCCCCAGTGAGGAGCTGGGGAGCCGCGCTGCCCCCCCCCCCGCCCCCCCCGCCGGCCCCTTGCCCACGGCCGGGCAGTCCAATGCCGAACGGGGCTGCCCACTGCCTTGACCGCCCACCACCAGCATCGCGCAGCCGGGGCAGGCGAGCCGGCTGCCCACTTCGCACGCTGACTGCGCCCTGGCTGAGCACGCGCGTGCCGGGGCGGCTGCTGGCATGCGATACCGCAGCTCGGCCCAGGCCCCCGGGACTCACGGCAGCAGGGAGGTCTCACACGCCTTCACACAGGGACCCCGCGGGGCTGGGCAGCGGCCAGGATCCCCATCCCCATGCTCCCTCCTCCCACAGCGGCAAGCAGCTGGTGTGTCTTTACTCTGGGGCCGTCCCGTCCTGGCACCGCGGAGCAGGCTCAGGCGACCCCGGGGGGCTGCTCCCTTGGGTCCCTGCGCGGAGCGGCCAGTCACAAACCCGCCTGCCCCGCACCCTGAGAGCAACCCCGGCTGCCCCGCCTGCCCAGCCCACTGGCAGCTGCTGTCTTCCCACTGAAGAAGTGTAGCAGGATTACCGTTAACCCAGTGGGCATCCCACCAACGCCTGCCTCCGCCCAGGACCTCTGTGCAGACTCAGTCCCAGCGCTGCGGGGTCACGTCTAGTCCAGAGGCAGGATCATCTCTGTCCAAATTCCCCCAGACAAACCCGTGTGCAACCTCGGAGCTGCACGACACCGTTGCCCCCGGCACAGCCCCAGGCATCGCCCCCGTCCTGCTCCTGGGATATGGGGGCCGCGGCTGCCCACGGCCTGCTGTTACCCTGGGGGTCACGGGCGCTGCAGAGAGCCCAGGCCAGGCCGTGCCCCCGCTGCAGAGGCAGGCAAAACCCCCAGTGCCACCAGTCTGAGCAGGGCAAATCCCGTCCTGCCCCAGTGCAGCGTGAGTGCAGGGGCAAGACCCTCCAGCCAGGACCTTGCCAGGAGGAGCACTGGCCCAGCCCCAGCCCGGGGGAGGATTAAGAAACCCCAAACACGTGGAGCAAGAGGAGACGGGGAATTCCCCCCAGCCAGGTGCAGGACTACCCAGAGCAAAGCAGAGCCGGAGCCTTGTCCCCAGCCCCAGCTCGGCACCGGCTGGCCCAGCGGCTCCCCCAAAAGGCGACGGGGCTCCTGGCCCCTCCTGCCAGGGTCGGACTCGGCCGTGGGCCGGGAGCTCTCGGGCCCCCCGGCCCTGCGACACCCCGGCTCGCGTGCTCTGCTCTGCCAGGC